CACGAACGCTGGGGAAGCGAGCCTCCTCCTGCGTCTTTCCCATGGACAGGAAAGCACAAGCTCCGGGCTGCCCTGGGAGCGAGAGCCTGGCGCCCCTCATCGAAGACAGTGGGCTTCCCATGGGGAGAGATTTCAAGCCTGTCCTTGCTGGGAGCAGGGCTGGGGCAGCGGAGGCTTGGCCACCTCAGGGAGGGGTCCCGGGAACTCCAAATGGAATCTAAAAAGCCAAATAGGAAGGGGCTCCAGGGACCCCTCAGTCTGACCTTACGATTTTACTAGTGGAGACGAAGGCCCAAGAAGGGGCCATCACCAGGGTCAGCACTACAGTGCAGCCTCCCAACTCCCAGCTGGGACCTTCTGGGCACCTACAGCTCCTGGCCTGCTGGTTACTGCCCCAAAAACAGGGCTCAGAGCAGGGTCAGGAGTCTCTCCACCTCCATCAGCTCACTGGCAACCAAGCCTCACATGAGAGGCAGGAAAAAGGGCCCCCATGCTGTGAGATCCTGAGGGCAGATCAGAAGCCAAGGGAGTGACATTGTAAGGGTTAAAGAGTAGCCACTTCCTAGCTGGGCCCTGGGCCCTCTCTGCACCCTGGATTCCTTATCTGCAGAAGAACGACACCCATTTGCCGGGCGGCTGTGAGGAGCCATGCAAACGTGCTTAGGGTCGTGCTATTACTGTTCTCGTTATTTATCCCGCCTAAGAAAGCACTTTGTACAATAATACGGAAAGCTCCCAGGAGAGACATGGGCTGCTGGTGAGACAGTGAGATCCCTGACACCGGCTGGGCTCTAGGGACGGAGTCCTGGCTTGGCTAGGAAGTGGGCCTCGCTGGCCCTGTGGTCCTTTTCTCCATAAAAGTCTGTCTCCTGTCACAGAGGTGAGCCAAGTTGGGGATGCAGGCTCAAAGAGGAAGTGCACTTCAAGGCCACATGGCACAGCCCCCTGCTTAGACCTGTGTTGGCTTATTCAGGGCAGCCTCAGACCTGGGACACAAGGAGCATGGTGGGGTCTGAAGGATGACGGGGGTACCTCCCGGTCTCGAGCACCTTCGCAGTGCTGCACCAGGCAGAAAAGTGGCAGGGGTGACTTGGTTTGGCGCTGGTGCGGCGAGCCGCCCTTGGCAGAGATGGTGGAGTCCAGCAACATGGCAGCAGGGAGTGTTCCCGTGAACTGGGGGGACTGAGAAACCAGCCATGCTGCAGCGCCTGGCCCTGCTCACCGCCCAGCCCTCCTCACCGCCCATCCCTTGGCCTCAGCACCTGTGGTTGCAGAGGGCAGAGGAGGGAGGTGCTGACCCAGCAGGGAGGCCAGGGACAGGGTGGTGCTCTGCCCAGCTGTCTTGGCACCTAAAATAAAACCCATCTCAGAAAGAAAGACAGGTGCAAGATGGCCCAGGGCCTGGGAACGAGGCAGACATGCCCAGGGTAGAGTTTCTGGGGCTGCCAACCTTCAGTTGAGGGACAGGGTACCTGGCAGGAGGTCTGGTGAAGGAAGCCCAGCCATGCAGGGCTGGTGGCCCCTTCCCAGCCCAGCCCGCAGGGTGAGCTCAGAGCTGGGCCTGCTCTTACTGTTTATCTCAGCTGAGAAAGCGCTGTGTAATACTGAAA